GAGGCTCTCCAGGTGCCCCCAAGGTTTGTAGTGTGATTTGCTGTGAGGTTTGTAACACTGGGACTGCAGACCTTGTCTTACAGAGAGGAGCAGCATAAATCTCCTTTAAGGAGCTCTGAAGTGACTAACAGATATCTGTGTGCAACTGTTCAAAGGACAAGCCCTCCTGGGACAGGGATGGGCACAGTGCCATTGCCCTCTTAACCAAGAAGCCCTTTCCAACCACCAATTCCTGCTGCATTCATGCTTCCTTTTTTCCCCTTTATTAGCTCTGCCACGTCCTCTGCAGGCCTTCAGCTGATCATCCAGATCAACTGAAAACTGAAACCTCCTCTCAGCATTTGTACTCCAGATCTCTGTGTTAAACTTGTAAATTAACTTAGTTTAATCCATTTTCACAATTTACTGTATTTCATTTTTTATAACAGCAGAAGCTATTAAAGAAAATGTGTGCTCAGTGGCTTCATTCCCATTCACACCTTCTCTAGAGAGGATAAATTCAAGGGAGAACCACAACAGTTCTTGGCACAGAAATCACAAGGACAGCAGCAATGGGAAGGTACTGACCTGAACCACAAGAACTCATCACTGGTCACCATCAGGTGAAATACTGCACCACCAGCTCCTCCTACCATCTTCTGCAGGCATTTCATAACCATATGCCAAGTTTTTGGCATATTTTCTTTTGCATCTCTCCTCTTCCATGGCAGAGGTCCACATGAAACCACCTAACCCCCAGTGACCCCCAGGGATGGGCCAGGCTGATGGCCATTTCCATGGGCAAGATCTAACAACCACGGCAAAACCAACTGAACCAAACCACAGATTAAATCCAGATACACTTCACATTTAGTTACACTCGTGGGAGTTGGGCAGTTGCAGTGAGTTGGAGATTTCCAGATAACACATGAATCGTTATCAGTTGGGCTGTTCTGTCAAAATAAAACCAGCTTAATCTTTCCAAGAGAATCCTGGCTATTTCATTGATTAGCAGCTTTCTAACGAGAGGATTGAGTCCAGGGTGGATAACTGAGGTGATTGACAGCTCTGCTGCACCAGCCTGAAACAAGATGCCTTTGTTTTCCCACCATATGCCAATTAAACCATTAAGTATTGTTTACTGGCACTGGGAGCATTACAAGACAGTAGGTGGATTTATTAGCAGAGAAAGGAAAAACACTCCTACACAGAAGAAAAAGCTTATTTTGAATGACTAACAGCCATGCCCCTGCAAAGCATGACTAGAGCTGAGTTATTCACTGTCAGGAGGCTGCAACCCAGAACTTCTCCCTTTTTCAGACCATTTGCCAGACTGTCAGATATCTCCAACGTGCTCATCATTTCCAGGTGTCCTGTGCAGATCATTTGCCCAGTTTATGGTGTAGACAGTTGTAAATCCAATTCCTTCATATTATCACTGGGCAAAGGTTGGGAACTTAACTCACACTAGAGTCAGAATCTCACATTTCTGGGGCAGGAGACCAAGATGCCTTTTAACAAGCAAGAGCTCCTTCATTAGCATCCTCTCAGCACATGTAGGCACTGAATCAAATCAACTAAATACAAGTACCTGAACATGGCAGGAGCAATAACGTGGTTTAGCATCTTGCATCAAGAACATTCAATTTTACATGAATTAACAATTTATGTGGAGGAGCTTTGGAAGGAAGGGGGAGGAGGGAGAAGCTCTTGAATTCAAACGATCAGGCTCCATAGTTACCATGTCTGAACCAGCCACATTGCTTTAAAACAACATGTGCCATTTTTACCAGGCTGGGGGGGGGGAATCAAGATGCTGAAAAGATTTCCAAATTTATAACCTCTTGACTGTAGGAATCTGCACATTAAATGAGACTATTCCTTAAGCTTACAATCCCCCCCTTTGTCTTTTAGGAGACCCTCTAATTAATCTTCTGATCTCTGCATGGCAAAAGTTAAAGGGAAATATTCCAGTTAAACTGGATGGCAAGAGCTGAAGTTTTTTCAGGTTTTCCCCCTCCCCATTTCCTACACAGGCCTGCAAGAGTGGCTTTAGCACAGCTGAGGAAAGCAAGAGCTGCCATCTGTGGGTAAAGCTGCCAGCACTCCCTGCCCTGGGAGCTGTCCCCAGGATGTCACCATCACACAGCCCTGGATAAGGACCCAGCTCAGCTGGTTAATTAAAAAGGGCCAAGTCCCTGCCAGACAGGACCCTCTGCAGGTGTGGAGACCACAGAAGGATGTTAACAGAGTAAAATATTTTGGGAACCTGTGGACTTGCATTTTTAGCAGCCTGTGCAGGGCTCAGAGCCCCTTCCTGGGGTTCTGACAAAAATGGAAAGCACAAGATTTTCATTTCTCCACAGAGGGCTGTGCATGGCCCCTGCTGTGAGCCTTGAAAGCCACAGGCTGGTGCTTCCACTGTGCCCTGCAGCTGCACCAGGCAAAGCCATGAACACTCTGAATTTCAGCAAATCAATACATTAAAGGCCAGGGTGTCAAAGAGAAAACGGTGAAAAAGAGATCCCCAGGGATATTAAATACAAAGATATTACCTCTGGCTCTGGAAATCTCCGAGCCCTGGTTTGCAGGGAGGCTTTACCAAGGGAGATATCCTTGCCCATCTCCTGCAGCAGCTGCTGTGAGCTGCAGGGGGCTGGGGGGCTTTGTGGGGTCTGTGACCCCAAAAAGGCTGCAGAGGAACACACTGAGCTAATTACAAAGAGTGCAAAGTCTGTCATCCAGAGTTCAGCCAACACGAGTGGCTGGGGAAGCTGGCACCACGGCTGGCAGGGGCTGCCTCAAGAAAAAAGCAGCATCCAGATAAATGTAGGGAAAACCACTGCAGGACACACAAAGGGCAGAACATCTAGGGAGAAGACTGTGAAGGAGATGGGCAGGTTTTTCCCAGGGCGAGGGTCAGAGGTAAAAATAACAGGTTTGCTCTTGCTGCCCAAAGCTCCCTGTTTGGCCTTTAGCTGTTGTTCATGTTAAAGTGCTGCAGGACTGTTTGGCCACCACCAGGAACAGAGGACAAGGCTGCAAAACCAGTATGGGGTGAGTGTCACCAGCAGTAAGGGAACTGGTCAGAAAAAGTCCTCAGCTCTCCAAAGGTACATCTTTCTTCTCAGAGACCCAGAGCAGAACAAGCAGGTCCAAAGGTTCGTCCTTTCCCAAGTTATCACCCACATGACAAGACCAGACTCATGGCTTGTCACTGGCACCTACCAATTACAACAAGAGAGCTGGCCCTGTGGTGAAAGCTGCACTAAAATTTAACCCCCACAACCTCGTGATGTGGTAAACACAAAAATGACAGCTCTGCCCTCTGGGCTGGGTTGGAAAGAGGTGTCTGTCTGGCAGCTCCATCATGAAGGAGAAAAGCCTTAATATTCACACAACAGCCAAGACAAGATTTTGTACTTTGAGTTCTGATTCTTCGGCCTCATCACAGCTGTTATAATTTTAATTAAAACTAAGACAAAAGTGCAGCATTATTTGACAGAGCTTAAAAAGCAGTCCCTGGAAATAACTATGTCAAGATTGGGATGTTGAAGTGTGTCCTCTCAAGCTTTGCTCAGCACAGTAACATTTGGTACTGAAAGGAAAAATCACTGGCTTTGATTTCAGCTGCCCTACCCAGAGGCTGTCCTGGAGGAGGAGGCTAAACATGGACTCAGCAAGGAACAGTCTCCCAGGCTGAAGTTTGGAGAGGGATTTTCAACTTCAAACAGGAATGGGACTAACTGAGCACAGGTTTCAGCTCGGTATCTCCACACAGCAAAGGCACTGCCAGCTGCAGTCCCCACACCTCACCAGACTGCTCCAGGTGAAGGGCAGGTAAGGGTCCATGCCAGGCTGGCAGCCCCAGCACTCAGCTCCAGGGCACCAGGCAGCAGAGAGCAAGCAGGCAGCTTCTCTCAGAGGCAGCAGCTCACATTTCCTCAGACCTCGGGGTCTCCAATCACACAGCAATTCAGTGCTCAGGAGGCTGTGAAGTGTGTCCAGCTGGGTGCCAAAAGCACAAACTCATTTTTTCCTACGAGCAGCATTGCAGTGCTCTCCCCTCATTCCCCTTGCATGGCACAACTGCTCAGCTTTCCCAAGCAACGAATTTCAATGTCCCATTACTGTGTCAGTCCTCATAACCAGAAGCCCACGTTAGCAGGGCATTTACTGCCCATTTGCCAGCTGACAGCATCCTTCACTGCCTTCCCTGGGCAGGGAGCACACACTGTGAGCCCCTGCAGGCATCAGGTACCTCGCTTTTCAGTCTGCAAGGGAATAAACAGACTGTCCCCTGTGCTCCTCTGCACAGCCCTCCCACAGGGCCCTCTGCAAACACACACCCTTTTGATGCATATTTAATTTTCTTCTTGTACTACAGGGAAAGAATAGATACTAGCTCTTGGGATTTGATCTAGTAGCTAAAATTAAACTGATTTTCAGGGTGGAGAAAGATCTTGGGATTGCAGTCATTTGCTCTTCTTTCCTTAAGCATGTTATCTCACAGCAGAGCAGCTCTCTCCTTCCAAGTGAAGACACGTGCATGTTATCCCCTGTGTGAGGACATGGATGGGCTCAGCACAGCTGTTCAGCTTTCCCCAGGTGCAGACTGAGAACACACATCAGTACATGTTGCTCCTTGATGGGTCCAGCCATTCAGAACCAAACTACTGATATTCACAGATTAGGTCTGTTTTGCAAAGCTATTCCAAGATTACCCAGTGGTGGATCCTCACTTATCACTTACCTGTGATTTATTTTTACGTGGGTTTTTTTTGTGAAATTGCCCCAAATCTGGTGGGTTCTGCCATGCTGACTTGCACACTAGTGTCACTTCTGCTCTAAGAACATCTTTTCCAAAGAAATACCAAAACCTTTTCTGATGCTTTGACTGTATCACCATCAGATCCAGTAAACTGAAGGACATTTAAACAGTTGGATGTTACTGTCAGGAAAAATGGTAATACTGGCAATAGCCCAACAAAAAAATGTGAAATATGAATGTACAGACTTACCATTTTTGTCAGCTCTTCTGAAAATCTAGAAATGAAAGAGAAAGAGAGAAACACTTTTACTCTGCTGTTCAACAGGAGGGGGTGAAGCCCTGGGCACCAGGGCCACATTCAGCCCCACACACGGGGCAGCCCCACGAGCTCCAGCCCCAAAGAGCCAATTCACTGAGCTCCCCCTGCCCCAGGCTCAGCTCTTCTCCCCCAGACCAACAGGATGGACAGTCACTGCCAGGGCAGAGTGCCAGCAGGGCTGCCTTTGGAATAACTGGTGGAAATGCTTCCAGCAGTTCCAGCACCTCCCTCACAAAGGGAAGCTGAAATGTGGATCCAACACCAGAAAAATACACATTTAAAAAAAATATTACAGCAGCCTTGCAGCCAGCCCAGCCAGTCCCTGCAGCATCAATAATGTCTCTTAAAGCAAGTTTCACAGTTCTGCACTTCTGAAAAAAATTATTTACAACATTTTTTTTTTTGAAAGCAAGTCTCCTGCGTGGGAAGGAGATTATATTTAGACTTAAAACTACAGCGTGGAGGAGCAGCCCACAGAGAGGAACCAGATAGCCATTTCAGGAGAAAAAAATTGCAATAACGTGTAGTACTGTAGAACTTGCCTGGGAGAGACAGAAACAACTGCTATTTTTCTGACCATCTCATCTGAGGAATAGCCCCCTGACACAATGCAGATAAGAGCAAAAAGGATTGTGCAAAGCTTGAAAACTTACAAGTTCCTGTCAAAAATAGCTGCTAGCACAGGTTTGGCCATAAATTACCAAACAATTAGCATGCTCACAAACTGGGCAGAAGAGGTAAAATATTCTCATCATCTCTTCAGGCCTGACCCTATTGATTTGAGCAAGAGCAGAGATTTTGGTTTTGCACAGAAATTTCCCTGTGGAGGGAATAAAAGCACGAGCAAGACAGATCAGAGTCAGCTGTAAAATAGAATCTCTTATTTTCTGGGTCACAAAACCATTAAAAAAAAATCAGAAGAGAAACTGCTGCACAAACAAGAAACCCAAGAGACAAATTGAATTGCAGAATATGCTATTTCACTGAATATGGCTTAATTAAGGAACATATTAATCATTCTTTTGTCCAAAGCTCTTCCCAGGCTGTGCAGCCCACAGCAAAGTCAAAGCTGGACTTTCTGCTGTACTTCAGCAGAGGCAGAACCCCTCTGCTTGGGCCAAACCCAAGTGGTGGGAGTCACTGAGTCTCAGCTTCAAGAGAGGGTCAGAAAAACCCCACAAGGATTACAGCTTGTGACCACTTCAAAACTCCTTCATTTTTGGGGCTGACCATTTTTTTTTAGAGCCATTAGAAGGTTTGGGGGGGGGGAAATCCTACCTGTCTCCTTACTCACAGACTTCACTGAGGTTTTGAAGGGCCAGCCAGTCATGGCTTGTCTCTGGGAAGATGGAATATATCCCAGCAGGACCCCAGTAAGCTGTGGCTCTAGCACACATTCCTCCCCTGTGTGCAGGATTTCCTGCCCACCACACACAATACTCCTCTGTTCATGGTTTGGACACCCCAACTCCTCACTCCCCACGAGCACCTCCAGATGAGGTACCTTTCTTTTTAGATGCTGATTATTTCTGGGTCATTTGTTTCATCAAAACATCCCCTTCTGTTACTCTTCCCACTGCTTTGAAAGGAAGCCATTGCAGCCAAACACAGAAGCAGAAATGACTATTTTAAGATCACCACCCCACTAAGCCCAGCTGAGAGAGGGAGAATGGGAAGGGAAAACCAACAGGTGAAATATAACTTAAACTGAGAGAAAGGCTCAACCTGCAGTGCTCTGCTCCACAGAGCTCTTAACCTTGCAAGGGATGGTTGGAGCAACAGGAAAAACAAATAAATTAAGAAATGAAAAAAAATGTTTAGAAAGTGAAGTATTTATGTCCAGCTTCACTAAGTGAGCATTTTAGAGCTTTAACTCCCCCAGATACTCCTTAAAGGTATGACTATTGCAAATGAACATGTTGATAAAAGATCACATTGGCTGTATTATTTATCAAAGTTTATTCTACAGGACCAAGCTGCTTGCTTTTTTATTGCTAATGGGCAGGATTTATTCTTCCAACTTAATTGGACCATGTAAAATTTGCACACATAAAAATTTAAAGTGGGACACCTGGAGGGAAAGCAATTTAAGACAAAGTCATCTGTCAGCACAGGCAGGCACTGCATCAAGGTATGAACACTGGACTGAGCACTGGGAGGCTGATAAAGATGTAATATACTCTGTGACAGCCTGGTAGTGCTGCCAAAAGTGCTGCTGCTGGGAAGCCCCGGGATTTATGTTCTAGCTCATCAAACAAGAGTGCCCTCCCACACAGAGCCCAAGATGCTCCGTTCTGGGCTGGAATTTGTGGTTCCCCCGCAGGAAGGAGGTGCTCTCTGCATGGGAGAGGTGTGAGAGCTGCTGGTAGAAGGGAAACCACAGCCCTCACACCCACCTAGGGACCAGAGGGCAAACCCCAAGGGCAGCTGGGTGCCAGGCTCCCAGGGAGCTGGGGGAACAACAGCTCCAGCTGCTCCCAAAATGAATGCAGGCGAGGGTGCTGCAGGTGAGGATGCTGCAGGCGAGGGTGCTGCACCATCCCCAGCACAGGGACTCCAGAGCCCACCATGCACAGGGGCTGCAGAGCCCACCCCACCCCGTCCCCGCGGGCTCTCCCGGCAGCTCCGGCGCTGCCCCCTCACTCAGCAGCACCGGCACTCAGACTCGGGCACTCAGACACGGGCACTCACTCAGACTCGGGCACTCACACTCGGCCCAGGCAGCAGCCCTGGAGGTCAGGAGAGAGGAGGTGATGAAATATGGGTGGAGAAGGGCCCTGTCCTGCCAGGCCCTCGGCAGCGATTGGGCTGCCTTGGCCCCGGGGGAGGGAGAGGCTCCCGGAGCAGGAGCTGAGGCTCGCACAGCCCAGCAGGAGCTGCAGCTGCACAGCCCTGCCGGGGATGCTCCTCCTGCTCCACCAGCCCCAGCTCTGCCACCCCCAGGGCAACGCGGCTCTCACACGGCAAATGAGAAATTATCCGGTTCAAGAGGTACTACAGCAACCATCTCCCCCATCGGCTGTGCTCCGAAGCTATTAAGCAAGTCTCCTGAAGCACAGGCTGTCTCAGGGGGAGCCCACAGGATGCCCACAATAAGGGCATTAACCCATTTTACAGGATTTACTCAGGCAGTGCATGCACTTTTCTGTCTGCAGCATACTTAGCCCATTTACCCGATGTTTAGATGAATATAAACACTATTTTCTCTAGAGCAAGGAACTTCTCTCAAGATTTCCAATAGGTTTTCTTTAAATATGTGTTTTAGCTGTACTCTCCAATGGCTACTACAGATATTTGACTGGCAGAAGTAAGCAATTCAAAACCCCAATGGTAATAATAAACTTGGAAAAAAAAAATGATGGTTTCAAATTTTAACATTGAGTTCTGCCTTCTCCAAGCTCCTGGATGAGAACATGCGACACTGGAGGCTGCTTAATGGAGGTTTTCTCACCAATTTTATTAAATTCACACAAGCACTCCCCTAAGAAGCCCAAGAATTATTACAGGGTTTGTAGAGTTTATTATCCCTTCAGCAGGTTAATATGATGTTGATTTAAAATAGAATGCAGCTGAGCTGAAATTTTGTTTTCCATTATAATGTTGGTGCAGAATCAAGGACAAACAAAATCAAGTGTCATGCATGAGGAAAGCCTTTGGATGAGAAAGCATTCAGAGACCAACACATACCTAAAAAAATTATTAATCTGCTCACTATGTTCCTACATTCCTGTTCNTAAGATCCAATAAAAGCACCCAAAGCTACAATGCCCTAATTTTTTGTCCTTGATGCCTTGGATGGCCTGTTACTGAAGCCCCAGCTGCTCACACCCATTCGAGTCCTGGGCAAGTGTATTGTCCAAAAGGGCCTCAAGTTCAGGGGGAAGGTTGGAAGATAAGTATTTCAAGTCTTAAAACCACCTTATGGGCAATTACCATGCTAAAAAAGGGTCTTTGAACCGTTTGCTCACCAGTGCCAGTTTTCTCCATCCCTCTCTCCATGAATGTGTTCCCACACTGCCAGAACTGAAGAGGCATTTTCACCCCATTTTGTCCTAATTTCTGCATTAATAACTAAAGCTCAGCAAGGGGCACTCTCAGAGTTAAAGGGGGGAAAGAAAACCTTTACACATTCTTTAACATTTCAAGCCGGGGCTGAGAGATGTGCCTGAAGCTTTTCATTTGGTTTTCTTTTTCTGCCTTTTTGCAGCTTTTGAAGCTTGTGAGCTCTGCACCCCGTGGGGACAGTGGTGGCCCAGGCACTGGGGCCACAGAGCCCCAGGCAGAGCAGCACTGTGAGAAGCAGAGCTCACCCTGCTCACAGGGCACAACCCCCCTGCCAGCTGACCCGGCTCCTCAACCCCTTTGTTATGATGCTGATGTGCAAAGATATTCCTGTTCCCTGCTTTTCAGAGGCTCTCCAGGTGCCCCCAAGGTTTGTAGTGTGATTTGCTGTGAGGTTTGTAACACTGGGACTGCAGACCTTGTCTTACAGAGAGGAGCAGCATAAATCTCCTTTAAGGAGCTCTGAAGTGACTAACAGATATCTGTGTGCAACTGTTCAAAGGACAAGCCCTCCTGGGACAGGGATGGGCACAGTGCCATTGCCCTCTTAACCAAGAAGCCCTTTCCAACCACCAATTCCTGCTGCATTCATGCTTCCTTTTTTCCCCTTTATTAGCTCTGCCACGTCCTCTGCAGGCCTTCAGCTGATCATCCAGATCAACTGAAAACTGAAACCTCCTCTCAGCATTTGTACTCCAGATCTCTGTGTTAAACTTATAAATTAACTTAGTTTAATCCATTTTCACAATTTTTTGTATTTCATTTTTTATAACAGCAGAAGCTATTAAAGAAAATATGTGCTCAGTGGCTTCATTCCCATTCACACCTTCTCTAGAGAGGATAAATTCAAGGGAGAACCACAACAGTTCTTGGCACAGAAATCACAAGGACAGCAGCAATGGGAAGGTACCGAGTTGAACCACAAGAACTCATCACTGGTCACCATCAGGTGAAATACTGCACCACCAGCTCCTCCTGCCATCTTCTGCAGGCATTTCATAACCATATGCCAAGTTTTTGGCATATTTTCTTTTGCATCTCTCCTCTTCCATGGCAGAGGTCCACATGAAACCACCTAACCCCCAGTGACCCCCAGGGATGGGCCAGGCTGATGGCCATTTCCATGGGCAAGATCTAACAACCACGGCAAAACCAACTGAACCAAACCACAGATTAAATCCAGATACACTTCACATTTAGTTACACTCCAAGCGTGGGAGCTGGGCAGTTGCAGTGAGCTGGAGATTTCCAGATAACACATGAATCGTTATCAGTTGGGCTGTTCTGTCAAAATAAAACCAGCTTAATCTTTCCAAGAGAATCCTGGCTATTTCATTGATTAGCAGCTTTCTAACGAGAGGATTGAGTCCAGGGTGGATAACTGAGGTGATTGACAGCTCTGCTGCACCAGCCTGAAACAAGATGCCTTTGTTTTCCCACCATATGCCAATTAAACCATTAAGTATTGTTTACTGGCACTGGGAGCATTACAAGACAGTAGGTGGATTTATTAGCAGAGAAAGGAAAAACACTCCTACACAGAAGAAAAAGCTTATTTTGAATGACTAACAGCCATGCCCCTGCAAAGCATGACTAGAGCTGAGTTATTCACTGTCAGGAGGCTGCAACCCAGAACTTCTCCCTTTTTCAGACCATTTGCCAGACTGTCAGATATCTCCAACGTGCTCATCATTTCCAGGTGTCCTGTGCAGATCATTTGCCCAGTTTATGGTGTAGACAGTTGTAAATCCAATTCCTTCATATTATCACTGGGCAAAGGTTGGGAACTTAACTCACACTAGAGTCAGAATCTCACATTTCTGGGGCAGGAGACCAAGATGCCTTTTAACAAGCAAGAGCTCCTTCATTAGCATCCTCTCAGCACATGTAGGCACTGAATCAAATCAACTAAATACAAGTACCTGAACATGGCAGGAGCAATAACGTGGTTTAGCATCTTGCATCAAGAACATTCAATTTTACATGAATTAACAATTTATGTGGAGGAGCTTTGGAAGGAAGGGGGAGGAGGGAGAAGCTCTTGAATTCAAACGATCAGGCTCCATAGTTACCATGTCTGAACCAGCCACATTGCTTTAAAACAACATGTGCCATTTTTACCAGGCTGGGGGGGGGGAATCAAGATGCTGAAAAGATTTCCAAATTTATAACCTCTTGACTGTAGGAATCTGCACATTAAATGAGACTATTCCTTAAGCTTACAATCCCCCCCTTTGTCTTTTAGGAGACCCTCTAATTAATCTTCTG